CATATATAGAGATGACGTACAAATGGGCGTATGGCATTTCTCCAGCATATATCCGAAAATAAATATACACTGGAAAATAAAAATTACCTGTAAACAGTATAATACTTTTGACCCAAAGAGTAAAATGTGAAACACCAAACGCCCAAAAGCGTCAATATCACGGGAGATATTGGAGTAAAAAGTATGCGCAACACCGAGCCCTCAACCTTCTATTGATTAAAAGTTCGTTGGCGCCATATCCGACGGTAGTTTCGCTCAATGACGAGTGAATCTGAAGCGATTCTTACTCAGTTTAAAAAGGATCTTGGTAGTTTGAAAGACAATGATAAATACAAAATAAATGCTCTCACATTTTGTGCAAGAGACTACAAGTCAATTGTCGGCGTTCCAGAAGGGATAGTGGCTGCGACGACCGCCCACGTTTTGGCTGTAAGCAAACATTAATACACTTTCTTTCCTTTTTTTTAAAGTTTGTGTTTATTAATTAAACTGCCGCAAACGTGTTTAGTGATAAGAGCATGCGAGCTAATGCTTTTTTAATTATTTGTCCGAAACCTAAATCCTGCCTTCTAAGCCAGCATGCGATTGTCCTACCGGACAGTCCTGCGCTATCTCCCTCCTCTGACTGGTTTTCCATCCTTTGCTGTCTGTAAACTGTGCAGGTTGTTTTCTTTTTAGTCTTAGCTAACAGCTCTTGGCGACCACCTAGCCGACAAGGGCTTATGTGAATTTCTTGTTCATAGACTTTGTGTACAACTTTTAGCAGAACAAGTCGTGGAGTCACTCCCTACCGCTAACTCCATTATACTCTTTCACTTTTAATGCATGTATCTCAGACAGTAACTACAAAGCGCGACTACTTTCTCACTTTTCTGTGTTTTGGGAGGCAATATTGTTCGTGACGCCTATACTTACCCGCGACCCTCATGATCAGTCGAATGTATTTAGACCTTACAGATAATACAAAATGCTATCAGTTGCGTAGATTTTGTTCCCATCTCGTTCTTTTCACTGATTCGTGAAAAGTTGCGTGCTTTTCGTAAGAACCTTATGCTGGTACATCGCTTATGGGCTCCAGAAACGGGTTTCTCATTCACATTCTGCAAGTAGATAACGTGAGCTGCATTCCGTAGTCCCCAATGGACTCCGCGGCCTTATATTGTCAAGTAGACGCCCCCATCAATAAGTATGGACTCGGTTGTTCTACTTTCGATAGTTCCTGAACGATTTTCTTGAGTGTGGACCGCGGCACGCTATTGCTTTCAGGAATACCCTTTCTTTTTGTGCCCGTAGCTC